AAAAAAATACCCACTCCTCTCCCCAAACCTCCAACAAAAAGAGGGGGAGAAAAATGATATAACCATAGAACCAAACGCATTACGCCAAACCAAGTTTCAAAGCGATGGTCTATTCAGCCTGGTAGCCCGACTGAACTTCGAACCGGTACCCTCGGCGTGTTTTCCAAGCGCTGACATCCCGGATCAATGAGCTCCCGGCTTTGTCCCAACACCGCCCCAGCGTCCATTACCCGCAAATATTTTGATTGCAGTTCGGCGTCAGGTCGATTGCGTGGGATTCAATGGCCGTTAATGAGTTACTCTACCGGGCGATGAAGTCAACGACTCCCAGCTAGCTCTCAGTGTTGCCAAAAGCTATTGGATTAACGAGAGGCTTCCACTGGTTGTAATGCTGAGCAGGGTAGATCTCTGGTGGTCGTGATGGTGTTGAGACGTAATGCTTAGCAGTGTAGCTCTGTTGGTCATAGTGTTTGCGTGAGTGAGCGAGAGATTTTTAAAAAAAGGATGAACTGTGAGGTAGATCTCGTCGGTTAGGAAGTTTGTAAGACTGAGGATTTGAATTCTAACTTTTCCCCCTGACTGAGAGGACGGGTTGATGTCGTGTAACGGTAAGTCGTCAAGCTGGGCGTGAGGATTTCTTGTCTTCTAGAGCAATGGGATGACGCATACATGACCACACACATAAAGGTAGCTTTGGTGGTCTAGTGATTAGGCGGTCGGACTTGTGATCATGAGATCGCTGGTTTAGGAGTTTGAGGCTCAGCCCGGCTCAAATTGTTTTCCTAGGGAAAAGTATTTTACTTGAATTTTCTCATTTGGCTCGGTCCTATCGTAGATAGGCGTTAAATTCAGAGGTCCAGCCTTTAAAAGAACATCACAGTATTGTAAGGGGCGTTATACCTATACCATTTTTGCACAGAAATAAAACGAAGAACTTCATTCAACTAAAGGTAGCTTCAACAGATTTTGATGAGTCCATCCTGAAAATAGAACTATTTAAAAAAAAACTACAACGAAAGTAAGAGTTTTAGAAGGCTGTGAATGGTCAATGGTTTAGCCACCTGTTACGTATGTCACCGTGCCAGCCAGCCTCGAGAGCTTATAGCACCAAGCACTCCAGCTATAAAGGAAGAGGACGGCCACGCAAAAGGTGGATTAAGGGTGTCAAGGAAACCTTGAGAAATCCTAATATCCCAACTGAAAGAGCTGCGGAGTTGGTCTACCATAGAAAACTGCATCTCTCCTCAACACATAATGGCAACAGAGGATGAAAAGTAAAAAGTAACAGTAAGTAAGTGAATTGCCAGTGCTTCCCTACAGTTGTAAATGCTAGACAAATATTAAAGATAGTGAAAATATACAAGAGATAACAGAAATTATATGGTTTCTCAGAAAACTGTTGAGGATTTTATCTAAGGAAATGAAAATGAAAGAGGTAGGGCTGAAAAAAAAACAACCCCAGGGTGGAGGCGGTGACTCATAAAAACACATAGGAAGAAACGTGCATTTCCTAGTTCTTTGTATTATTTTTGCACTAGATCTATATATCGCGCGCCAATTAATTCGGCTGGCCTAAGGCATTGCTTTGTTGTTAACGGACTGTATTGCGAATCGCGAGTTGTTATAGTTTGTTTGTTTTCTTTTACTTCAAACGCTGCAGGATTCTGGGATACGAAAGGGGTTCTTCTTCTTGAGGTCTTACCTCAAAGAGAAACCATTAATTCAGCCACAAGGCGTAATTGTAATTGCAGACGTTTTACGCCCCCATCGACATAACTTAGACAATTTAGAAGACGGCCACATAGTGTGAGACCCTCAATGTTATAAGCTGAGAGATTCAGAAGCAGTTTGTTGTGAGAGACAAGGGCGTTTGACTGAGGGCGACGTCTTGCAACATGACAACGCCACCCCACCCCCTCCCCCC